TAACCCAAGAAAATCTCTAGTGACAGAAATTTATTTAAAAACAAAAAAACACCAAATAAATTTATAATAGAAAGCTAAAAACTGCCACGCTGGGACCTGTAATCTGAAAAGAACAAAATTATAAACCAACCATAAAAGTGTAAATTAAAATGTGACCAAGCCAACTGAAAGATGTTGTGAAAGAATGGACAAATTTTAAAGTAATATGAACAAAAAGAGGTAATTTAGAGCACTAGAAGCAACAAATTAAAGTGAACGTTGGAAGATTAGTGAGACATGGGTTTTGAACTTTTTTTGTGCGTGTCTGAAAAGTGTGGCTTGCATTTGTATTTAGAGCCCCTGTGGTTATTTAGAAACTCTGCAATCACATCTTGAAGGCCGTTGTTGTATGTCTTCTACAAACTTTACAAATCTACTGAAATGTTTGTACCCTCTTGTTTCCAAAATTCTTCAAACTACTAGTCAGGTTTGATGGAGAACTTCCATTTTCAAGTCAGGCCACAGATTTCCAGTCAGGCATCCAGGAAGTAACAGCTCATGTTGTTTCAGGAATTGATAAGATTACGGAGAAGTCTCAGGTAAGCGAAGACGGAACGATGATTGCCTTGCCTCGTTCAAGCTCTCCAGCAACACCACCTCACCGTGGTGCCATCAATGGAGCCAGCGACACGGAGTCCAACTCAGAAAGAGACAGCGAGGTACTGCAGATGCCTCGCTGCTCGCACTCTGTTTATTTTTCTGCTTTCTCACAGTTTCATCCTGTCATCAGGTCTTCACGAGGTCGCAGACATCAAGAAGTCGAATATCGAGCGTCTCATCTACTGCCGCTTGGACCGCTAATTCAGGCTGGGTGAGAGAGGTTTTTTTTTTTATGTTTATTTCTGCTGCTTGTTGGTTTTTGTCAGGAGATTTTATGCTTTATTTACCTGTTCCTGTTAGATGTTGTCATGGAAATCTAGACTTCCTCTGCAAACCATCATGCGGCTTCTGCAAGTCTTGGTCCCTCAGGTGGAGAAGATCTGCATCGACAAGTAGGAGAAAAGTTTTAATTAGAAGCCAGATGGATTTAATAGTTTAACTGATTTACAAGAGATTGCTGTAAATTCTGGCAGTGCTCAAATTGCAAATAAGCAAAAAGTTGATGTTTTGAGAATTTGATTCTTAAATCTGAGATGTTCCAATTGTTTAGAGCTGGATCAAATGAGGAGGTTTTGTTTTATCTTCAGGGGTTTAACAGATGAGTCAGAGATCTTGAAATTCCTGCAGCACGGCACGCTGGTCGGCCTCCTCCCAGTCCCTCACCCCATCCTGATCAGGAAGTACCAGGCCAACTCTGGCACTGCCATGTGGTTCCGGACCTACATGTGGGGAGTCATCTACCTACGGTAAACATACCGGATGTAGATTCACAGTGGATTTCAGTTTGGCTGCTGAAACTGATTTTTTCACTCTTCCTTCTGTTCTTTGAAGGAATGTGGATCCTCCAATCTGGTACGATACGGACATAAGGCTTTTTGAGATTCATAGGATTTAGAGGAGCTGCTGGAGTTGACCACAACAAGTTCTGCCAGATGATCTTTGACCAACTTACTCAAAAAATAAAGATTCTCTAAACATACCTTGAAAGTTCTTCATTATGCAATAAATCCAACATGAAATCATTGGTTGAATATAATGTTCTTCAATCACTTAAATACTTTATTTAAGAACTAATTGGAATGCACTACAGAAGATTTAGTACACACAGTGAAACACAGCTGTAGCAAAGATTTATGCTGCAGCTAGATAAAGTCTAAATCAAGTTGTCAAAAATATTTATGTCCTTTAAAAAAAAAAATGCTTATCAGAATTTTTATTTATTTTTTTAAAAGACTTTTTTAATTATTTTATTTCTTAAAAATATAAAAGGAACTGTACATAATTGTACTTATGCAAGCAATCTGCAGATTTAAAAAGTAATCAAATATAAATATTTGTATGTGAAAGGGGAAAAAATTATTGGCTCAGAGTGGGTGGACCTGGCTAAACTGGATTTACCAAATTTTACCTTTGGAAACAATAAAAAGCATGAAGAATTGATAAAATGCCTAAGTTTTAGAGCTGTCAACTTTCTGAATCGATTGGCTACAGTCAGTCAAACTAAAATGGAAAATAATTTTTGTATCTACTGGATGTGTAACTGTGAGGCCATTCGGTCAAATATACTATAAATTAGCTTATAGTGGACATAAGTTCGTAATTGTGTGACTATTCTGAACATGTTTTAAACATTTGGTGTTTGGAATTTGATCCGAGTGTGACATCTGTACTACAATCTTCGTATATTTGTAGAAAGATTACCGAGTGAGCGCTCTTTGGAGCAAACGATATCTGACGTATTTTTCTTCAGTAACCTTGGCAACAAGAATTTAGGCAGTTGGGGAGGCAGTAAACGTTTTTACGCTTTGTACGTACCTTGGAAAACTTTCGTCTTTGTAAGTATTTATGTGTTTGTAAAGCGCCTTGTTGTTTTCTTTGGCTGATAAAATGTAGAGCAGTGTGCATCTATGAGTGTGGATTTAAGAGGAGTGATAAATTTTTTCTTTGTTATATTTTCAGTTACAAAAACAGTTTGAATGTAGCAATATGAGTGCATTACCTAATAATGTATTTTTTTTCTCCAGCTAATAAAAAACAAGGTTTTTGTGGATACACGTCAACGAACAACTAGTAAAAACTTTTACTAGTTGTTCGCTGACAACTAGTAAACGCTTTTTACTAGTTGCTACACGTCAGTTGTTCGCTGACGTGTAGCTAATGACGTGTTGTGAGGACAGTGACCTCCTGGTGACCCCAACAAGGCGATCTCTGACAAGCAAGGGATATAAAGTAAAATGTTTGAGAACATACTGAATATGAATGCATGCGACGGGATCAGACTTTCAACTATTTTTAAAAGAATCTCACTGGTCTAAAAGAAAATACATGGTCAGAACTGAAAAGTCGTGTGCAGCAGGCGGCAACCTGTTTCACCCAAATCATATAATTTGAAAGGTAATTCTACCAAATAATATAAGGACATTTATGTCAAAGGTAAAGGTAACATCCAAAAATGTCTCATTCCAACATTTATTGTTTAATCTATTTCAATGCCAAACGGTAGGGAAGGGAAGAGTGTTTGTCCTTGTTCCATTTCTTGTTAATGGAACAAGAAAAGATCATTCGAGCAGTCGGGCTGTTTTGGATTTTAATGTTGTTTTGATCATTGTACACCTCAACAACATTTAAACGTTGTGGGGGTTGGAACTAAAAAAACAATTATGTGAAAACAATGACATTAAAGAGGGATGCTTAAATTTAACTTGTCGGGATTCGAAATCATCTTCAAAACTGAAGGATGCTCCAGATTTGACTTATACGTGAAGCGGGGCGCGTCTTTACGTGGAGACAACTCCGCCCATTCCTGACTTACAGCTGGCCGCCGTCTCTAAGCAACCAGCTGCCCAGCAGTGGGCTCTGCAGGCCGCAGCGTCCCGGAGCGAACCGAGAAGTCAGCTCTTCAAAGGGACTAAAGGTTATGGACTGGAGCTCAAATTGAGCCAAGGCCGCCATGAATGACCGGTACCACCGGGCGGCCCGGGACGGCTACCTGGACATCCTGAAGGAAGCCACTCGTAAGGAGCTGAACGCCCCGGACGAAGATGGGATGACGCCGACCTTATGGGCCGCTTACCACGGCAACCTGGAGGCTCTACGGCTCATCGTTGGCAGAGGGTGAGTCCATAAAAAATATTTATTGTTTGTTTATAAATAAATTTGTTATAGAGTTTGAAACGTGACCTAAGAACTATATTTAAAAAAAGGTAATTTAACCAAATCAAAGTCTAGTTTAAAATAGAATTATTATTATTATTATTATTATTATTATTATTATTATTATTGTTGTTGTTGTTATGGAAAAAACTAATCTAATCATAAGAAATAAAATATTGAGAATAAATGTTACTTCCTTCCTTAGCAGTTTAATTAGTGGAAGGACATATAGAGGGGTTTACAGCCCCATTACATAGAAAGGTCAGGTTAAACAAGTGAATGCACACTGTGACAGCTTCATGTTCAGTTATGATCAATTTTAGAACAGACCAGCCTGGTCAGCAGGCTAGCACTCTAAATCTTATCCAGAAGCCATCAGTAATAATTTCACTCAACTAGATTAAAAATGATCTAAAAGCGAAAATCCATTATGTTTGGCTGAATGTCTATGTTGAGATGCAGGAAAGGTTTTAGGATCAACATCTGCTGAGGTTTTCAAGCTACAACCAAAGCAGGATGCTGATCAAAGTGGCTCCTTGTTATCTGTTGAAGCAGAATGAAACAGTCTGGGTGCCCTTTATCGTGCAGCTGACTACAGGTTTATAGGGCATGCGGTGATACAGAGGACAGTCGACTCTTGGAAAGGTCATAGATATTGATTGATAGAAACAGACCAGGAGAAAGACATACACAGATTGTTGCAATGAATGTGTCAATAACACAGGAATTCCTGGAAGACTTGTATAATTGCTTTTTTCCTTCTTTTTTTTGCTAACATTTCAGTATAGCAAAGAATCTTCTTTATTTTTATACTACAGTGAGAATGTCTATTCAGTCATGTCTCCAAATTTTCATTTATTTGTTTTTGCCCAATACAATCGTCTTTAAGCCAAGCAGCAACATATTTACAAAGAATGTAGACACATATGTATTAAAAGAGAAACAATTAGAATTTATTGATGAAAAACTTTAACACCGCTAAATGTGTGTTAAAAAAATGTGGAAAAATATTTCTATGCCGTTAACTTTTCCACCTTTTGTCTCCTTGCAATTAAATCTCAGTGTTTACTTTATGTTACTGGGATTTTATATTATAGACCTGCGTACCCGGAGAGAACCCACGCATTCACAGGGAGAACATGCAAACTCCATGCAGAAAGACCCCGGGCTGGGAAACCGTCTTGCTACAAGGCAACAGTGCTACCAACTGCGACACTGTGCTGCCGTTCAGCTTCATCTCTTGTATTTTAATTTACATTTACAAAGCAGCATGTGCACACTGAAAGTTATATAATTCAAAAGGGGAAGTGTCATATTGTTTATGTCTTCAAACTTGTAGCTCATGACAAAATATGTATCAGTCACCGCAGTGATTTGATCATTTGGATTACCAGAAAGGTGACTTAAATGAACATAAAGAATCTAATGATTTGCTGTCTTAAACAATCTTTTTTAAGTCCAAAGCACCATAATTAACAATATTAATTGTTAATGACCTCGGTGCTTTCTATGACTGACCACACCAGCAGGGAAAAGCTATATTTTGAAAATGCTGGAGCCCTGAGCTACATTTAGCTTAGCTACCATTACCTTTAAGAAAAGGGACATTTCAGGATGCTTTTAGGGTAATTTTATCTAGCTTAGTGTCTAGAAATAATGGAAAAATACCCCTTTAAAAAGCAGATGGTACTAAGGCCTGCTTCGTTTTAACAATTCTAAGTATTAATAATGCAGAAGCAGCACAATAATTCAGATTATGTAATATCCTCCTGATGTTTCCCTCATGATTGACGAAAGAAAGCATATTTATTCTGGTCATGGGCACATAATTTCCTTCCTGAAACAATTCCTCTTCTTGCTGCTCGAACCAAAGTGGGTTAATGCAGTGCACTGATGAATCAATAGTTATACTAGCTCCTGTAATTAGTCTATCGAGTCTGAAGGTCCAACAGTGATTTAATTTTATAACACAATCTTTGAATATCAAAATACATTTTGTAGTGGTACATAAAAATTAAGCACAATGGTACAGCAACATATTTTCTTACCTTAAAAAAGCTGTTTGCCAACAGCAAATCAATCATCTTCTGTTTACAATTATAGACGGTCGCACTCCACTGTAACATACGTTATATTCACATTCTGTATATGGCACTGGTGTTTAAGTTTTAGAGGTTAAATCATTTTAATTACATTTGATTACACTTAGATTATTCTAAGTGTACAAGCAAACACCTAAACTATTCTATTGCATTTCATATCCCATACTTTTCTTGGGATTAAAGGATAACTGAGTGCCAAAAACAACTTGAGTTGCATTTAATGATTTTAAATGACTTACGAATAAAGTCTCACAGTCAGAGCTTCCTCAGAACAATTGCTCTTGACAGCAGCAGAAAACAGATTTGTTTTTTTGTTGTTTATCTCTGCTTTATCGCCTCTAAACTGGAGCTACATGTGATCAGATTACTGCCTGAGTTACGTAGGTGTGATTCCTGTTGCATGTTACTACAGTGATACATTTCCCACCGCTGCAACTGGATCTGCGTTACAGCTTTTAAACAAACAGCAGAACGAAGAACTTTAAAAAGGTCCATCAGGGTCACAAGCTGAAAATAAAGCCAGAGGAGATGCTGATGAGGCTGGTGGAACCTGTTGTGGTGACTGCATGTTTGTGGGTGTGTGCGAAAAAAAGACTTTGGGTGTGTGGGATGAATAATGCAATGTCACCTCTGTCATGTTTAACCTGCAGAGCTTCAATTATTGATCATGGACTGGCCGTGTAAGAGGAGGGAAAAAAAGAAAGAAAGTTTGTCGCTGCTGCAGCTGAATGCTCCTGTTTATGTCATGATAACGATACAGTAACACCTGGGGGAATAAACTGCATATTGGGGCTTATTCTTATAATTCATTAATATCAGGAGGAAGGAGGAAAAAAAACTGGATTTTCATGAAAATCAGTTTACTCGACTGTAATTACTTTAAAATTAGAATTTACTTTGTGTGATGATAAAGGCTGTTTCTATTCTATTCTATTCTATTCTATTCTATTCTATTCTATTCTATTCTATTCTATTCTATTCTAACTTTAAAATGAAGTTAATCAAAGAACAAGGGTTAGTTTATTTTAGCCACTTCTGATCCTCTTAAAGATCATCTGTAGATATCTAATTAATTTGAAGAAAAAAATCTTCCCCTAGCTGACTAACTTAACTCACACTCACAGTTAAAGTAGATTTTTGCCTTTTCTACAAGAAATCTCCCAGTGTCTACAGCTGAAAAGAAAACCTTTAAAATTAGCATAAGAATCAGTTCAATAAATTTAATTAGACATCTCCTCTCCTGTGTCTTAGAGGTGATCCAGACAAATGTGACATCTGGGGGAACACGCCACTCCACCTGGCAGCTGCCAACGGCCACCTCAGTTCGCTCTCCTTCCTGGTAGCTTTCGGTGCCAACCTTTGGTGTCTGGACAATGACTATCACACACCTCTGGACATGGCAGCCTCCAAGGGCCACATGGATTGTGTGCGATATCTGGACTCCACCGCCTCCAAGCAGATCACCCTCAACCCGAAGCTGGTCAGTAAGCTGAAAGACCGAGCATTTCGGGCTGCGGAGCGTCGCATCAAAGACTGTGAGAAGCTCCAAATGAGGCACCGGGAGCGCATGGAGAGGAAGTTCATGAAGGAGTCAGTGGCTCTGGACAACCTGGATGCTATTAGCTTCTCCAGCTACACCAGCAGCAGCACGCTAAGCCGCAAGTTCAACACAGTCACCTCCAACATGCCATATTCACAGGTGGTTATGAGTCAGATGTAAATAAGCATAATATTATATGTCTTCTAAATGCTAATAATGGTTTTTATGAGAAAAATTTAGATTATAACCAATTTTTCTTTACTATGTACTTATTGTTAAGAACTTGATGACGTTAAGAACTTGATGAAGACGTAGCCCACACACCCAAGGTTTTGTTTGAGCAATGGAAACTGGTTGTTTTTGACTGGTTAGCTTCATCTTTAACATTTCACCTCTAAACTCTCCTGGTAAGGTTAATTGTTGATTAAATAGTTAAGGAAGTGCTAATATTGTTTTGAACTTGAGGGGTAAGGAAAAGGGGCAGAAAGCTTACCCAAGAGTGTTGGAAAGGAGGCTCCGAATGATTGTCAGATATCGATCCTCGATCAAAAGCAGCAGTGTAAGTTTTGCTCTGGTCATTGAACAGAGGAACAGATCCTTACCCTTGTAGAGTTGATGTGGAAATTATTGTAGTATGGTTTTCCAGGCTGTGTTTGGTACTTGGTGTGGTGTTCAACAGTAATATAGTAAGAGGATGGTAAAATGAAATGAGGCCTTGTATGTAGTAATCTATGCCCTGCTCTGTTCTGCTCTTGTGTGGACTCAGCTTTACAGACACAGTAAGGAGCTCCATCAAAAGAAGCAAGCTTATAGTAGAATGGCTACTCCTCTGCATCAAAGGTGTTTAGATATGCGGTCAGGATGTGAACTGGATATCTCGTATCGGAGGTTTTCTGAGCACAACTTGGAGCAGGCTAAAAACTCACTGGGGAGATTTTTTTTTAGAAAGAATGTGAGGAATCTTGCCCTTGGATAAGCAGAAGACATGAAATGGGTAGATGATATCTCATGATGGCAGAATGGATCAGAAGACAGATGGGTTGGGTCCTCATCTGGTCTATTGTGGTAGTAAATAACCTGAGCATAAACAAAAGCTTCTGCCAACTAATGGCCAGACATACTTTTTGTATTCTTCCATTGTCAGATTAAAGTGTAAAAATAAACATCAGAGGTTGTGAAGGGGAGTCTTTTGAGGTCTTTGTCAAAAGTGTTTTCTATTGATAGACTTTTTATTGAAGTCTTTCAAAACAGAAGTTATTTTGAAAAAATGTGCCTATATTTACTTTTGTTTTAAGACCTTAAATTTTGTTTTAAGCAAGCTGGTTTTATTTCCAGGCTACGCTGCATTCAACAGCCAAGGGCAAGGCCAAGATTCAGAAGAAACTGGAAAAGAAGAAGCAGGTTGATGGAACGTTCAAAATCTACGAAGATGGGAGAAAGAGTATCCGCTCGCTCACTGGCCTGCAGCTTGGTAGCGACGTCATGTTCCTCAAACAAGGCACCTACGCCAACCCCAAAGAGCGGGCCCGTCTCAACATCAGGGACATGTTCCCCCGGGAAAATGATGACGATGCTGAAACAGTTTCTCGTGCCATGAGTGATCCAGGCCTCTATGAAGCTGCCTATTCAGAAATAAGCGCAGACTCTGGGCGGGACTCCCTTTTCACTCGGCCTGGGCTTGGAACCATGGTGTTTAGAAGGAACTATATGACAGGTGGCATGTTCGGGATTGGAGGACGAGATGAAGGAAGCGTTGTTGGAAGTGAACCTGTTGGTCGAGCACCTAACGTCCGTCTGCGTGGACACCTGCCTCAGTGCTCTCCTAGCTTTGATGAAGACAGTATCGGCAGCGCTTTTAGCCTACAGGAGAGGAACCTGCAAGAATTACCTTGGGAAGAGGTTGACATCGGGTTGGATGAGGACATGGAGCCAGAGAATAACCCTCTGGAAACTTTTCTTGCCTCTCAGGGCCTGAGTGAATTCTTGCCAATCCTTAGTCGGGAGAAGATTGACTTGGAGGCACTGTTGCTATGTTCAGATCAGGATCTCAGTAGCATTCATATCCCGTTAGGCCCCAGAAAAAAGATGCTAGATGCCTGCAAGAGGCGTCTCAATGTTCTCGAAGAACCAGAAGCTATTGAGGACTCTGCGCTTTGAGACTTTATCTGTTTTATAGTGGGAGTATCACCTTACATCTTCATTCCCAGCAGATAGATTCATGACAGACTTTGGCTCATATTGCATATTATCATGGGGCAAAACCGAACATGTATTGTCTTTGATAATTTTAATCACTAATCAGCAGGAAATTGTTCTTTTTGGTTCCAACTCAAAATCATCAAAGGTAAAGCATGTCAACAAACTATGGCCCTTTAACAGTTCAATCACTGGTGTGGGTTTATCTCCAAAAAATATCATTGCCACCATCTTGTGGCTACCATGTGTAACTGCACTCAATTTCATGCTGTAGATTCTCCTACCTGAGATGTCAAGAACATAGTTTATTTGTATTTTGTGACATGCTATTATATATACATTTGCATAAATCTAAATCTGTCTCCATATTATGAGTCTACACACACAAATATTAACAAACTACATAAAACTAATTACAAACGTTACAATAAGATACAGGTTTTGGTTTTAACATTTTTCCACAAACAGGTAAGTTTCTATTGATTCACCTCCAATAAATTCTGCTTTATTGTTACTGTACATCTCTATTGCTCCATTTAAGAAAAATCAAAATACAACTATTGTACTTTAAGACAAAAATATTTCTGTTTGGCACATGTACATTAATGACCGTACTGTATGTTTGTGATAGATGCTAATCTGAGACTGCTGCAGACATGGTGGTAACAGTAAGACGATGTGGCGTCAGGGCAAAGTTACGTGAGTTTGCGTAACATAAAGCTGCAGTTTCAGGTTGCTGCATGTCGCATCACCTTTCAGCTCTGGATGTATCTGCACCAGAGGGCATGACCCGGCATGTATGATCATTTTTATTTTTTTGTAATAACTGCCTGAAAATGTTCACAGAAACATTATATCTTTTAATAAAATAAAGTAAAAGAGTTCATTGGGAGCTTGTTGTACTTATAAATTGGCATGAATGCATTAAGGCTGTCAAAATTCAATTTATCTGTTAGATTTATGTAATTGGTTCTCAGTACACACCTCCTGTCTTAGGGGTACAATTTTCTGTATTTTTAACTTTTCTTTGGAAGCCATTTTCCACTTTTCTCTTTTTTTTAAATCTCCATTAGCATTTATCTGCAAGCTGTTCTGATATTTTATGGGGTTTTTTCTCCCTCTTCTTTGTTGCATTTAGCTATTTTGTCATTTTAGGTATTGTTTTTATGATTTTTTGGCACCTCTTTCCTTTTCCTTGGACCTCTTACAAGAAAGTGTTAGAGTGTTATAGTCTTACAAGAAAGTGTTTAGTGTTACAGTTTTGTAACACTTCTCCAACATTTTTGTATTGTTGTTGAACCCAGCCTGAAAAATACAATTCAATTTAGAAAAATACAAGGACAATTCTAATTTCCACCTATTTTTTCCCCCTTTCCAAGTCAGGTCCTATTTATCCAATCATCCAGATTTCAGAGGGATGCAGATTAATGTGAATGAACTTCTAAAAGAAAAAGCTATCTGCCTACTTTGAAAAAAACAGAAGTGGACGCTGTTACTCAGCCTTCGTCTTTCCCAGAATGTTTGCCAAGGTTACAGCAGCAGAGGGGAGGGGGAAGAGGAGAGCACACAAAGGCAGAGGAACAACGGAGGAGAGAGCGTCATGCAGAATGCATGAGACACCGGAGAGGGGGAACTGAAGCAGATGCATTTTTTTTCTGCAGGATTTCTGAAGCCATCCTGTTAAATCTTCAGCCAGTGCCTCATTAGATTCAAAGTCAAGGCGAGGAGGAGGAATGACATAAAAAAAAAAGAAGTGGGACGGGAGGATCCAGAACGGCTACAGGAAGGGGGTCGGGCTTCTCTGACAATGATCCTCACCAACAGGGAGTTTGTCAGTGTTGACTTTCCTCAGTGGACTTTGCGTTCAGTGCTGCAGCGTTTTTCCCCGGCTGCTCTCAGGGGGAGACTGTGACTCTGTCCTGAGCCGGTCCTCAGCATGCAGAGCGTACAGGACGAGTGCCGAGAAATTCCAGAAATCCAGAATGACCGAGGATGGGGTGGTGTGCTAAAAATGAGAAGCGGAGCGCTTTCGGAGGTGACAAACGGTGGAGGAGAAGAGGATGTGGGGAAAGAGTCTCTGATGATGGAGCTGACCAGGCTGGTGCAGAAGGTGATGAAAGAGAGCAGCTGGTGGGAGAAGAGGGGAGTGGACTGCAGCATCCTGACTGCAGCATTCCTGAGCCTGGTACCTGGTAAGGAATAACTCAACACATCTGTAAACATAAGAAGATAGCGATCTGAGGTATTGAAACATTTCAAACTGACTAAAATTACTCATTGTGTTCAAAATGTTGATAAATGACATTAGCTTTAATATGTTTCATTACAATTGTATGGTCAACACAAATTTCAGTATAAATCCAGCTGATCTGGTAAGCCAACAGAGGGGTTGTTGGAGAACATTTAGGAATAAACAGAAGTAGTATGATCAAGGTACACAGCAAACAGGTGACTCTGGAGGATCAACTGTGATCCACAGTTCATGCTGTGAAGAAGCTGGTGGGAGTTAAATGGATGATGGTCGGAGTTAAATATAGGGCAATCATGGGGGGAAAGCTGTAGCAGCAAATGTTAAAACGGCTTAGTTAAAGTCCAGTCCTCCATCCAAGCTGACTTACCTTGATCTATTTTTGCCATGAATGTGTAAGGCTGTTAGAGACCCTGCTTTTTTTGTAAATTGCCTCAAGATGAAGTGTTGCGATTTGACACTAACTACATAAACTGACGTGAATTAGATTTTCTCACTTGTAAAATAATTTGTAAACTGTGCATCATTCCACTTTTATCTGAAGCAGTGGGTTCTGAGATCTGAAACCAAGCTGATTAGCGGAGGTTTATAGATTTAGAAATTGTAGGGGCCAGAGACATTAATGAAGTTTAACAATCCCATGTGACTGTGTGTGTATATATGATCAAGAGCACACACTGCAGTCTGGATTTTAGGTAAAACAAAATTAAAAAAACAAACCGTTACTATTCTTTTTTCTTCAGGCACATAATGAGCTGCTGAATCTTCCTACATAATGGAGAAGTGTAAATTTACATGTAGATTAAAGGATAACCTTTAATCTACATGTGAAGCGATGTAAGGAATGTTGTACGTGATGAAAAGGTGTCGGATGCGAGCAGCCCTGTTGTCTCTGGTGACGAATAAGGTTTCATTTTACCAGTTGAGCTGCCTGCTAATTTATCTCAAGCTGGAGATGCTCCTACTTCTTTAGATTTTGTTACTAAGTAAGGTAAAAAAAAAAATAAAATATATATGTATATATATGTATATATATATACATATATATATGTATATATATATATATATATATATATATATATATATATATATATATATATTTTTTTTTTTTTTAACCTTACTTAGTCTTTACCTTTTACCTTACTTATATCTGCAGCAATTTCAATAAAGCAATTGGGAACGATTGTGTCTTTTTGGCAAGCTGCTGTTAAGATTTATGCTCACTGTCCTGCTTTGACACAGCAACACCAACTCTTGGCTCCATCTCTGATCAGCGCTCTCCTTGTTTGACCTTAAGTTTAAGTGGGCAGCCTTGTCTTGGTAGGTACCTGTACTCTTTCCATTTCCGGATGATGGATTGAGCAGTGTTCAGTGAGATGTTCAAAACTTGGTAAATCTTTTTATAACCTAAGGTTGCTTTAAACTTTCCCACAACTTTATTCCTGACCTGTCTGCTGCGTTCCTTGGATTTTATGATGCTGTTTGCTCCCTAATATTCTCTTAACCAACCTCTCAAGCTGTCACAGAGCAGCTGTATTTGTACAGAGATTAGATTAGACACAGACAAACTCTATTTAGCAGTCATCAGGCAACTTCTGAGGGCAATTGGTTGCACTGGGAGAAACTAAGAAGTACACACTGCACTTTTCTGTTTTTAATTTGTAAAACAAATGTTTTGAATCATGTATATATTTTTGTCTACTTTTCAGTTGTATACAACTTTGTATTTTGGTCTTTCACATTAAGTTCCAATAAAATACATTTATGTTTGTGATTGTAATATGACAAAATATGGAAAAGTTCAAAGGATATGAGTGCTTTTGGAAACCACTACATGTTAAGTTATGAAGCTACAGCCAACATATTTTAATCTTAAAGTCTAATCAGTCAGGACCGATTTCTATAACCAACTTTCGTTAGTTGAGTTTGTTAGTTTTTAGACATTTGTTTCTTTACAGCTCTTCCACAGCGTTTGAGTCAGCTCTGTACTTTGACTGGACTCTTGATGCACCTGGCTTAATTTATTTTTCAGCCATTCTGTTGCCGATTTCCTGCGGTGTTTGGGATCATTGTCCTGTTGATGGCCCAGTTTGGGCCAGGTCTCAGCTTGGTTCATTCAGATGCATATTTGCAAACCTAAGCCATGCTGCCATGTTCTCTTAGGAGAGAAGAGGCTTTCTCCTTCAGCCCTTGTGAACAAGCCACACTTGTTCAGGCTTTTTCTAATCATCCTATCACAAACTTTAACATTTGACATTCTAACTGAGGCCTCTGGTGTCCGACGTTGAGCTCTTAGGCTTGTGAGAAAACCATCAGAACAAAGACTAAGACTGACCATCATTGTGTTTTCTTTCTTCCTTCTTTTTTAGGTATTTAGTCTATCCATCAGAAGCTGTTTCAGCCTTTTAGTACATAAACTGTAAAACTAATGTGGCAGAGCAGGGATAAAAAAAAATATATATTAAAATCCAGTTTAAAGCAATGTTAAGAAACAGAGAGTCGAGAGTTTTAAGTTAATGCAAAAACAATTCTATAGACACATTTATCTCCTGTTGTCTGTCTTCCAGCCTTCCTGTTGCTAGGCTCCTCTCAGCTGCTGTGGTTTTCCTTGGGGATGCTATTGATGGGCTTGGCTCATGCTATCATTACCGTCAAAGGGACACATCTGGCCAGTCACGGAGCGCTCTGTGAGTCGCACACCTGGGCAAAGTTCTGGGCCATCTTCTTCATCGAGGTATGCAGGAAAAATAAAAATAAAAATCTGCTGCCATGTGAAAATTTAAAACAAAAATAACTTTTAGAGCTGGATAGTCTTATTCTCACTTCTTTGGCAAAGCTAAAGAAGTAAGAGTAAAATATATCAACTATAACTTAATATTTTATGTGAAGGGCTTTATTTATGTTTTTCTTTGTCTATGGCTTTTCACGCAATCATGTTCATCCCGACAGAGACATATGTTTCCATAAAACACTCTCAAAGCCCCACCAGCTCCTGACTGGTCAGTTCCAGAAATCTGAAAAGCTTTCCATCTGAAATTTAGCATTTAAAAATTGCTTTAAAAAGCTTTCTGATCATTTCCAAATTTAAACCACAAACTGGAATATCAGTAACTGTCTGTGATAGTTTAAACATTACCAAAGTTATAATCCAGCTATTACCCAATGACGTCAATATTTTGGAGTGACCATCACAAATCCCTAAAACATGTGTGGACAACATGGCCTGCAAACTTGACCAATTTCACACCAGTTCTTTTAGGATGAATGGAGCAAAGCGCTTGTCAAACTACTAGGAGAATCTCGTAGAAAAATAGTTAAAACCTTTGACAAAAAAGTCATACAAAAAGCCAATTTGTTAAACTGTATGGAAATGGGAAAACATCTGATTTTGTAAAAAATTTAAAACAAACACTATATCTCTCATTATCCTGGCATTTAGAAACTATAATTAATTTTAATTATTCTAACTGAACATGCAGTGCATGTAAATATCTAGTTTCAGTGTTGTAAGAGGTAATTGGACTGAACTTGCATCACACTATCCATGCACTCCATTGACCATAACAAAAACCTGGCAAAACCCTCACAACCACAGAACATTCAAGTTAAGTTCCAGTTGAGATTTAAATGTATCTTTCTGTGCTGCAAAGCAGAACATGGTTTTGCTTAAACCATTCAGTGACCTCAAATAACCCAAGCATCCAGAAACTCAGTTCACTGACCTCGCCTAATTAAACTTGGATATTTATTGAATATGCTGATATTTACACAAGCAAAACATTTGTATCATTGCCTTCTCTCTCTTTTAACCTTTGACCAGATACCTCAAAATGTAAACAAAAAATATAATAGATTCATAGCCTGTATCCAATCTCAACCTAAACACATGTGCATAGACTGAGATATATGTGTATTTTTAATGTCTGTTTTTTATTTTATTCTTTTTTTTTGGTCTGCTCAGATCTGCAGCTCATTCTCAGCCCAAGCAGGCATACATGGCCACATTAAGATGCATCATGCCCACACCAACATCATTGGACTCGGCGACTCCAGCGTCTGGAAGATTCCCTTTCTGCCTCGCATCATCTACTTGTTCATGGCCCCCTTATCTGTGCCGGTCATCACTCCACTCGTTGCTCTAGGTTAGAAAGTTTTTTTAGTTTTTATTTGTTTTGTTTTGTTCACTGTAGGTTCATTTGTAGAGTTTCTAAAATTACTACCAGCATAAAGTTGAGATAGCTTTTTTTTTAACTCTTTGGTGTCCTACATCTCTCTCTAATCCGTGTTGATTTAATGTGAGTGATATATTTGTTTTCAGCTCATCTTAAAGGAAATTCTTTAGGCATGGTGGTCCGGACGGTCCTGATGATTGCACTGGGCCTGTATTCACAGTATTGGCTCCTCATAAACGTGTCCGGGTTCAGGTCGATGCCCGGAGCCTTGTTATGCATGCTGGTGTGCAGAGCCATGTTCTCCATTCCGTACATCCATGTCAACATTTTCCAGGTGACAACACAGTGCCTGCATATTTGCATACATGCAAATCTTATGGAGACAGACCGTCTTCTTTTAAGAAAGACCGGTTTCAAAACTAACATGCCAGAAAGCATTTTTAAAACAGATAAAAATCCATACAATGCATGAAACTGATTGACTGAAACGACCAAATAAGAGAAGGTGTCAAATATGAGTAATCAATAAAATCGGAAACAACATACACATTTTAAGTGACCTTTTGAGTTGAGTGACCAGTAAGTTAACCATATTTAATTTTTTCTTTAAAGTAATAAAGGATTACTCAAAAATGAATAAAAATGAACAGTAACATTGGAAACACATCAAAACTACACAAGAGTAATTATATTTTAATCATATTTGAATAAACTAAATTATAATACAATATTTGTCAACAGAGTTAATTGTTTGTTTTGTTTTGTTTTTTTTGTTGTTTTTTTTTACATGTTCTGTCTACATGTTTATAGACATTTTTGTTTCAAACTATGTCAACTTGTTCTTTTTATTTTTTAGTGCTTGACTTAAGGCCATTTGGAAAAAAATACTCCACTCACAAACCAGCTTCTTTTCATTTCATGCCAAACGTTCACCAGGAGCTTTTTATTGCAGGCTCTGTGGGAAGCTAACAGACACCGGCATTGTGTTGCAGTCAGAGAACTAAAGGGATAACAAGAACAATCCAGGCATGATTTTCCAAGAAAAGATCCAGGTCATTGTACATTGTTCAGAACAAAGGGTGTGAAGGTGGATTAGAGAACGCAGGTTTCAGATGTTTGTTCTAACTCGGAGGTCAGACTGGAGACCCTCTCTCCAGAGTCTCCTTGATCTGTGAATGCTGTTGTTGGCTGGTTTCACCTCACCTCCCACCTCCCTCCTCCCTGGGTTCAAAGCTGTTCGGCTGAGGTTGACCTCTGATTTCAGTGGGTTCATCATACTGAGATTGCACTGAATGTATTCTGTAAATCTTATATTTCTCTGTCAATAAGTAAAATCTTAAAACCAGCAACAAAAATACGTTGGAATTCACGGAATTTGTTTGCACGATCTCCACAGCTCCAGGATCAATTTACTCGTCCCTCTTTTGAGTAAATTTAAACAGTGACGCACCTGAAAGGATAAACCACAGTTTCAGATGGAAGTTAAAGAACTACTGGAATTTTCTTTCCCATCTGTGGACCCTGTGGATTAGAGAAATTGCACAATAAATTCAAACTTGTGCACCCAAGTTGTTTGTTTTATAAACCACAGACGATGTTTGTAAAATTGTTCCACTCTTTAAAAGTGAAATCCTAAAATTAAGATAAAATTATAGATGTGATGACTGTGTGTCATTTTTCAACTGGGTCTTTACATAATTCACTTTTCCAGTAAGCAGAAGAAAGTCACTCTGAGACATTGACTTTGTGTTCCTTGTAGTTCTGCACAATCAAAAAATGTCTTGTTTAATTGGGGTTCATATCATTAAGTCTGGCATCGTTTGTAGGTAATTCCAATTCGTTTCAACACTTAGCCTAATTTTTACCTCCTATTTTTAATGAAGTGAAACACCCAAACATTCCATGCATAGTAAAGTTTAACCCTTTCACAGACTTAAGACATGAAGTCCATTCTAAATCACAAACTTTTTACCCAGTGCACAGTTCTGTGCCCTTTTACGAGGGTTTTTTTTTTTTTTTTCTGCGGTTTTGGGAGCTTGCTGTCTGATGGGACACCCACCCCTCCAATCCCCCCATGCTCCCACTTCCACGCTGTCTGACCATGACATCTGCAAGGCACATCTTGAGCATTGTGCTAAGACCGCGGAAGGGTCAAAAGCTAAAAATACAAAACCATCTCAAATTGTTCAAAATGTAATCGTTTCAAAAATGTACCTGGTAACATGTAGTGATTCAGGGGTAAAAATAAGAATATAATTTTAAGCAAACGCCTAACTAGGACAGTCATCAGGTCAAAACACCTGCTCCATTGATCAGATGCAGCTCAAAATACAAAGCGGTTGTATCAGATTAACCTGAAAAGTAATTAAAAAAAAAACATGTCTTGTTGCAGCACATTGGTCTACCAATGTTCTCTCCAACAAAACGGCCGAAGAGGATTTACCAGATGACCCACGGAGTTCTGAACCTGCCCCGCAACCCTATGCTGGACTGGACGTTTGGACACTCTCTGATCAGCTGCCACGTAGAACACCACCTCTTCCCCTTTCTGTCAGACAACATGTGTTTAAAGGTGGAGTTACCATTACTGCCTCATGACATGTTTTTTTCCCCTCACCATTTCTACTGTTTGGGATCATTGTCCTGTTAATGATCCAATGTGGGGCAAGCTTCGGCTGTCTCACAGATGGCCTCACATACGACTGTAGAAACGTTAGGAGTTTTATGGTCCTGTGATTATGCATAACCGCTGTCTTGCTTCATTCTGTTCAGGTGAAGCCTGTTGTGTCCAAGTACCTGATTGAAAAGAAGCTTCCCTACCAGGAGGACACCTACCTGTCCCGTCTTCACCTGTTCTTTACCAAATACCAGGAGTTGATGGTGTTCGCTCCACCCATCACAGAGCTGGTGGGAGTGCAATGACTGAGGGAGGATGATGTCATCTTTACTTAGGACTTATGACATGTTTCAGCTTATATTGTGCTGATTAAAACTGCTTTGAAACACAAGAAAGGCATTAAAAAAATATGTACTGTCGATAGCTTCAATTATAAGAGGTTTTTAAAACACTAACAGACTTTAAGAGTTACAGTTTAGCTGTTGATTTAATCAAAGACACCAATATTTAACCCGAGACGTTTTCTCTAATCAGCAGCATTGCTCTGACACTTTTGTTTCGACTTGGTTTCTGTCTTATAAAGGTTCTGTCCATCATCATCCTGACTTACCTCAAACATGTACTGTCTACTACCTCAGCTAAGGTTAGAAAGTCACGTTTCCACTTTGACAAAGCTGGTAAAGGTGATGAATCTTTAGTTACTAGGCAATGATGGAAGACTGCTGCATGAAGACTTGGCATGGTGTAAACAGGATAGGCTTCTATGTCCAAAAGCACAAATCTTTTCACAATGTAGGCATCAAATTCTTTTCTTTTCCCTTGTTTAAAGGCATTTACCAGTGCTATAATGGTCAATGTAAAATATTAAAATATTCATTTTGCTCATTTTAAGTAGAATATAACGAGTTGGGCAAAAAGTGGCCAATGATGTAATATTATTTTGGAGTCAATAATGTAACATTCTGCCCATAGTATAATAAGTTATTATGGTATCGCAGTGAACCATAAGAAAAAAAAAATGTTATGTTATATAATCCAAAACTTTATGACATTATTGGCAAGTTATTTGATTTATTTCACTGAAAATTCTTATGTCATCGGATAACAGAAATAGTGGCTACATCTATTTTTTTTAGCCACCACACATTCTGTTGAAACCAGCTAATCCCATCTCTCTTTATCATTTAAATCTTTAAAGCACAAATCTTCTGTAAAAAAAAAAAAAAAAAATCCTGGAATGTGAGATCATGGAACCTTATTTCAGAGGATTAAGCCTTAAACTCAGGCTTTTAATCAGTCATATGCTAAAACTTAAAAGTTTTAATCCAATTCTGCTGATGTCTGACGCGGTGCATCATACTGCCGTGATTTAGTTTCTTTATGTCTGTTATGCTGTGTGGAGTTTGTCTGCACTCTTTCCATGACTTTCACAAGTTCTTGCTTTGTTCGGTCATCTGTAATTAGGTCTTTTACCTTTGGATTTAAATGTAATAAACAAAAAGCTTCATTTCTGTCTATATCATTGTTCACTTCTTTTCACTTCTCACTGAGTAAAACTTAGTTGAACATGAAAAGCAACAAAAAAAATGAAATAAGCAAGCTAACTGTTGGAGCAGACCACAAAACGTTAAAAAATGTCTCAGGAAAACCTTAAGCAGCATTACAGGACTTATAGCAGGTTTCAGATGGTTTTGATGTAAAAGCAGATACCTGTGTGTATCATGGTTTGGAAATGTTTTGCTGAAATTGTTTTAAAAAAGTAAAGTGAAGTAGGATGGGATCCCATTAACATGACCATAGACCAAAACATACCAGCAAATCAAGGAGTTGTCTATAAGGAAGTCAAAAGTCTTTCTTATTCTGGGTCTAGTCAAAGCCTGAATCCTGATCTCATTGAGAAGCTGTGAGGTGACTTGAAACTGGCTGACACATTCAAGAAAACCCTCATACATCTCACAGCTGAAAGCAAGCTTTCTTTAGAGCAATACTGACTGGTAGAGGCACGGCTTAAAGCATATTTCACTGAAGTGAGATAAGAGATAAAAATGTGATTAAACATCGCTATATGAATATTTCTTAAGAATGAACCAAACATTTATTGTTCTTGCTGTTACATGATAACAGCAAAAAGCCACGTCATCATGTAACTGCAGCTTCTTGCTGTGGGTGTGCCATGTAGGAGCTCTGTGTGAGCTCCTACATGCATACTGCAGGAGCACCCAACAATAGACTGAGTCCAGATCTCAGCTTTTAGGCAACAGACAAGAAAAAAAGACAAGAGCACAACTTTGGGACATTTTGTCACTTATAGCTTAATCTTCTTTTGCTTATCAAATTAAAAGCTGAAATTATGCAACAGAAGTTGTCAGAGGTCATTTTTGGTGTATCCGTATGGGCTGAACTATATAAATAAACTTTCAGAAAAAAGAAACCCCAACAATAGCTCTGTTTTGTTTCTACCTGCACATGAAAGCTCAGCTACATGTTTTTGTTGTTTAACTAGGAATGTCAGTGAGAAATATTGACTTATGAATGTTGGTGTAAATGTTTTGTTTTGAGTTCATTTATTACCACCTTCAGGTATGAGCTTCATGTTAAAGCCCATGAGTGTTTGAATTTTATATTTTATTACATTCTGGGTTACAAACAAAAAAAATAACTGAAAAAAACATTTATAGAATGTATAGAATGTGGCTTAAATTGGTCACCTGTGTTGTGGAAAAAAATAATTTCCAACTAATGTTAGGTGAAAATCACTGCCGGGTTTATTTTATACCATACACATAAGTATATCAAATAGTCATGGACAGGTCAGATTAAAATAAGACAGAGGCAGCCAACATCATACTTTTATAGCAAGAACAAGAAATTCTAAACATTGGAGAGACAGTCTGGCTCCCGAGCAGCTGCAAAAAACGACATCTAACCCTGGGTATGCAACCCAGACAAGTTAATTGGTGACAGTTCATAAACTCTTAGAATAAAGACATAGCATAGACCAGTGGTTTCCAAACATTTTCTGGGCCCCCCCTATGGTTTACAAATAGCTGTCTGGTTGAATGACGTTTGTGAGGGGGCGGGAGGAGACTCCTGTCTCTAAAGAATGAGCGGGTGGGGGGAAATCGACTTCTTTTGGGGGCAAAATGAATGTACGTTGCTGGACATACACAACAACATCGGTAGCCTGCAGACCACTTGTTAAGCTTAAGGTGATGTATTGATATTAGCTAGTCATCTTTTAGCTAACATTACCTGCATCCAACAGCTTTACTCAACTCAGTCGGTTAGTTTGGAGGGAAAAACTGTGAAAAGTTCTTTGCGTTTTGCTGGTTTGCTGCCATGATTCTAACACACCTGCGTAGCTCCGCACACCAGCAGCAGGTCTCCTTCACTGCCGCACAGGTGTAAACCCAGCGCGAGTGTCGTAGCGCTCATGTTGCATTTAAAGGCGGCTCGGAAAAACAGGTTACGACATGTTAACAACGGATTAAACAGTTTTAACTGCTGATAAAACTGACAGAGGACACACATATGGGAAGTGTGGAAGTTCCTACTGTATCAAATTGACATAGGAATAACAGAGAGTTGGCCATTCTAATTTAAAAACCGAGCGCATACGTTTTCATGGTGTTATTTGTTGTTGTTTTTTTGTTGGGTTTTTTTTATCCATCCAGATGGCTTCCCGCGTCCCCCCGCCCCACCAGGTGGCGCGCTCCACAGTTTGGGAACCTCTGGCATAGACAATCAGATTATTAAAGTCACACCTTATTGTAACATTTTCCACCATACTGTTTCAGACAATTTGTGAAAACAGGACGACATACGAGCACTTCAAAAGGGAATCTGTTCGGTTTAATTCACAGTACAAGTCAGCGGTGTCTTTCAGGAGCTGATTTAATGATTTGAGTCAGCTGTGTTGGAGTAGGGACACATTTCACACGTGCAGGACACCGACACTTGGGGACTGGAGTCGAACAACAATTACCTAAGCGAACACAAAGCAGTTCACAAACACAATGATGTCATCTATCAACTTGTTCATTATGAGACTATGGATTTAGAGTAGAAATTGACTTGGGAAAAATCATGGCTACACCACTGCTGGACACCTGGTGGTAGCACAGATCAACTCAAATTCCTGGGAGGCTCAGTATTTGCATCTGCTCTTGATTTTTAAGCAGCAGACATTTGAGTCTGTTAAAGGTGGCAAATTCCTCAGCAGGCCCGGTGACAGATCCTGCATCATGGCAGTCGCATTTTTCAGTTGAAAGATGTCATAAGTCCCTAGTCAAGTTGACCATAGTCTTTGATCTTTTTCTTCAAAGCTAAATGAAGCTCTCAGATGTTCTGGAGCCTCTGTTGCTGGTTTGTGAGCTCCACCCACTGACGAAGGCAAGGGCTGTGGGTGTAAGTTTGCATGTGAGTGTTTAGTGGGAGGTTTCTTTTAGACTGAAACTATGAGCCCTGAAAGAAGGTGTGGTTTTCATGCTCTTCAGTTTGAACCGGGAACTGAGAGCTGATAAAAGCGGCTCAGCCTGTTATTTTCTGAGGGTTGGGAGAGAAGCAGGCAGGCAGAGACATGGCAGAACCAGCAGCGGTGGAGGCAGCTCCTGCTCCCAAACAGCAGAACCTGTGCGGGGTCCGCTCAGGAGAGCTGAGCGAATGTAAGCCCACAGCTTGTGGTCACTCCGTCTGCGATTCCTGTCAAAGAGACAAAGCTAAAGGATGTCCAAAGTGCCTTCAGAGTCCTGCTGTCAAACCAGTTCCTGGCAATGGGCCTAAGCAGAATGGGACAGCTGCTGCTTCTCCTGAGAAAACCAAAGAAGAACAAAGTCAAGACCCAAAGACTGTGGAGCAAGTCAAAGTACAAGGAAAGCTGATGGAGTCTGAGGCCCCCAAAGCCCCAGTAGAGAGTGAGACAAAACCAGAGCCACAGACTGACCAGGGGCCAGAACCAGAGGAAGCAAAGGAGGAGCCACTGGGTCCCGATGATGTGGTGTGTGACTCCTGCATCGAAACCCCCTGCAGGGCCTTGAAGTCCTGTCTCACCTGTATGGTGTCCTACTGCGAGGCCCACCTCCGCCCTCACCTGGAGAACCCAAAGTTTCAGAACCACAGGCTGGTGGAGCCGCTCAGGGACATTGAGAGGCGTACCTGTGAGAGTCACAAGTGGCCCTTGGAGCTTTTCTGCTGCGCTGATGCCTGCTGCATCTGTCAAGACTGTTTGAAAGAGGAGCACCAAGGTCACAAGACAGCCCCTGTGGAGGAGGCTCGGAGACAGATAGAGGCAAGTGACCATCTTTAAGTCTCCAGGATTTGTTACTAAATTAAGATTAAATTCTACATGGTAACTTTTCCCAATTGTTTGAAAAAAAAAAAAAAAAAAACTACCATGCTTTGTTGTATTTTAGTGTGTTAGATGGTTTTTCAGTGTAGTTTGAGAAATAAAAATGAGAACTTTAAATACAGGAACTGAAAAATTCCTTCAAACATTTCACTTTAAAGAAGAAGTAGGATTTAACACCACAGCTGTTTCTAAACTTCCCCATTCATCAGGGAACACTTGTTCTAATCACAACAGTAATCCTGTGTCTGTGTCCGCTGTGAAGGCCATAAGATATCTCTATGTCCGACCCTCAGCTTAAGTCAGATTCCTACAGAGACACCTGTTATTCTCACATGGTGGAGTTGCAAAACCACAAACTGTTTATTAGCTGTAAAAGAAGAGAGAACAATTACATTTCCCGTCTGAGAAACGAGAAGAAAAGTGATGATACAGTTATCAGTAGATAAGAAAAAAAAAAACTTTTTATTCTCAATGTTCTGCACAGATTGTTACCAGAGTAAGATGCCTGAAATCTGCACAGCCTCACCTCCAACACCATACCTTGAAGTTTCTCTGGGTGGGGGGTAGAGTCACAGGAAAGAGACTCCCTGTTGTTGTGCACAGCCAGAAGAAATACAAGGATTTAAAGCCCCCTTATCCAGATCAGGCTCCAGGAGGGGCACTTGGTTTCATTTTTCTAGGCAAGGTGTGACGTTTTCTTTGGTCCTCTCACCTTAAAGTCTATAATTGCTTCCCAGAGTCAAGTTGGCCTGGGAAATCCAGCTAAATAACCAGCTGAAAGGTAAAACTTCATTATACTAGTCCACCTTCACCGATGGCCATATGATATTTAAAAATAAGATCTTGCATATGGGCCTCTGATGACATTCCTGTTATTAGCAGAATAGGTTAAGGTGAGAAGCTTCATCTTCTGGGGTAGCTGATTTCTGCGGCATCTCAGTTCTGAAGCTTTTTAGAGAAGAGGATGACAACAGAAGTGGGGTTGGAATAATACGATGACAATAAGAAGTGATGTTTTGGGTGGTGGGTTTCACAACATTTATCTTTTCCCCACAATATACATATTTGAAAGATGACCTATAAAATACAAATGTGTGAATTGATGTCCCTATCTTGTTAGAGACATTTTTTTTTACCTTTTAACCTAAATTTAAAGAACTAAATGTAATATTAATTGTCTGCTAGTTGGAACTTCTGTGTTCCTCAAATCAGGACTAAACATTAATTTAATAAACCTTTCAGACTCTTGCCTGCAGTGTCACTGCCATGCCATTCCTGTGTTAGACCCCTTTTTCAGAACAAATTCCACAGGCAATGAATTTCTGCACTAGTTTAATACGTTTTTAACTTTTAAGGACACACCTACTCAAGAAGAGGAAACTGAGATTAAGGTTTCCCTCGGGGTCTGAATCTTATTGGAGACGAATCTCAGAGTAGCTTGATCTCCTCCGAGTTGTCTGGACCTGCCTGAGGAATTTTGACCTGTCTTGCTAGATTTTCAATGGATGAAAGTTGTGAAACAAATGTGTATTAGAGAGATGTTATATAAAGTTACACCGCAACAGAATGGGGAAAACCAGAATGAAATGTCTACATGCACATGTCTGCATATTTTCAGTGTGACTGCTTGTATCATGGCTTTAATGAGACTTTCTCAGATCTCCGTTTTCCTTCTTATGATCACAGAAAGAGCTCAGCGAGAAACAGACGCAGATGATGAAGATGGTTACGGCAGGAGACAACGCCATCAGCAAACTCCAAGACAACAGAGTTTCTATCGAGGTAAAAATAACACATGACTAATCTGTAAAATGATTCACAAGGTGTATGACGAAAACATGTCGTAATAGTTTTGTTAAATATGTGGGTGAAGCAGCTATTTTTGGTGTAAAAGTTTTGAAGCTGCCCTGGAAAAACAGGTTTCTCTGTGAGGTCAGAGGAATGCTGTAGTAGCCGTATGGTAGTGAGGTAACAAATATTTGCCTTCTGAGGTTGGGTAGGTATGTCACATCACCGTCTTGCTTCACTGCATTTTCTGCATGTTATATTTCACAGCAATCAGTGACAAAGGTACGAACTGTGATCGAGAGCCAGTTCCAGGAGCTTCAAGTGATGGTGGAGAAGGCCAAGAAGGAGGTGACGGAGATCCTGGAGGCTGAGGAGAGCCAGGCGCTGAAGCAAGCCGATGGCATCCAGGTTCACCTGGAGCAGAAGTACACAGAGCTGAAAAAAGCTCAGGCCCAAACGGAGAAGCTTTCCAAAAATAAAAATGATGTAGATTTCCTGCAGGTGAGGTCAAGCACCTTTACAAAAATAATTTCAAAATCTGTTTAATATAGGTCTACAGAAGAACATTGTAAATCCAATCATATAGACAGATTCAAAATCAACTACATTTGTTCCAATTTTATCCCAGTTATAAATCGGTGCCATCAGTTTGTCATTCTCATTTGAATTTTCCATCTAAAAAAACCCACAGACTGCGTTAATTTCAGACTTCAGCAATTACTCTCCCTGAATTAGCACGTAGCCACAGTGGATAATTGACTGAATTGTGTACAGTTACCCAAATAACAATTATTCATTAGCAATATCAACTAAAAGGAACTGAGAAGTAATTTCTTCATGAACCACGACACACTCAAAGAAAGGTGCCAGAAGGACATTAAATTTAACCCAATAAAGCTAGGTGCTACAGGAAGTTGGATAGCAGCAGTTTAAATGACCGAAAAGGACGGCAAGGTGGAATGAGCAAATTGTATTGAACTTCAGTACCATATATTTAAAGATACAGCACACCACCAAGACAGACACGTTTTTATGTTTCCTCCATGTTTGGACAATGTGCTTGAGATGAACAAAAATAAATCTTAAACTTTACAAAGATTTGACCATGTTACGTGAAAGATTGAGAATTGCTTTAAACTGTCAGAGTGAATTGGCCTTTTAAGTCAAGAGAGATCATTTTAAATTTTGGGGGATATTTACACAAAATGTGTCATTATAGTCTTTGAATTCCTGCATTAGTTATCTAATCTTCATGGATGAAACCATGAAGACAGAAGTCCTCAACATCCAAAGGCCTTGTTCATTTCTGAACTGCTCTTTGTTTCTCAGGAATATGCTGAGTGGAAGAAAGAAGCCACTGATAATTCTCTATCTGGTATCTACGTTGGCCTGGAGGATCGTTTGGACTCCTTCAGTCAGGTGATCCAGGAGTCCACAAGCAATCTTTGTGACATGCTGGTGTCTACATACGTTCAGAAGGTCAAGGAAAAATGCAACAATGGTGAGTAAACCTAAAGTTAGCACCAGAGAAATTGCAGTTCAATCAGACGTTCCTTTGGCTGCTTGAGCATGTTCACACATGTAAAGAATTTCTAGCTAAGGAATGCCTTGGTGCATGCTTGAGTGCAAGACACATGACAACTAGGTCACTGGTTTTTGCACGTTATTTAAATAAGATCATCTTTAGGAGCACGGAGGCTTTGAATACTTGCTTAAATGGAATGTTTTTGGTTGTTCTGTTCCAGACGAAATAGGAATAAAGATAACAGTCCAAACGAATACCGCAGCCAAGCATGACGGATCCAAATGCGACCCAAAGACACGTGCTGACTTTCTCCAGTGTAAGTGACATTTAGTCAGAGTACATAGTTATGATTTCATACGCCACATTAGTGTTAAGAAATTCACTTTCTCCAAAATCCAGCTCTCTCCTCACTGTCCAATAACATTCAATTTAGAATTGCTATCTACTACAAATTGTCCTTCAGTTTAAGTGTGTACATCTATGTCGGTCTTTCCTGTATGTCCCTAGGATGATCTGGCAGACTTTCCAGAATGTACATAATCTCTTGCACTTTGACTGCTGGATGTAGAGACCAGCCCCCACTGACATTGCTAGTGTAATGAAAAATGAATGGACAAATATTTAATATAGACTTCCTATATAATATAGACTTCCTGCTTACATTTATATGCAGCATGAATGGCATTATAGATTCCAACTACAGAACAGACTGTGGTTAGCTAGTTATACCTTTTAATCTGTCATTCAAACTTTTATAACTGTTGATGGTGGTGTAGTTTGGTTGAATATTTTGGGAGGGCAGATCTCCATTTGGGTACACTTTGAAAACTTGTAGGACTTGTAAACTCTGCCTTGCACATATTTGAAACACACAAATAGTTCATGAATTTACCCAAGAGTCTAAGCTCTGTTCTGTCAGCGCCTTTATCTCAGTTATTTTGCAACACAACTAACTTGTTAAGCATTTCTTTCTAGATGCCGCTCAAGTAAGTTTCGATGCCAGCACGGCCCACAAGTTCCTCCGCCTGACTGAGGAGAACAAGAAGGTAACCAACACCACGCCCTGGCAGCATCCTTATCCCGATGTTCCTGAACGCTTTGAGAACCATCGGCAGGTCCTGGCTGCTGAAAGCTTCTATGTAGGTCGGCACTACTTTGAGGTCGATGTTAGCGGTGACGGCACGCATGTCGGGGTCACATACAAGAGCATTGACCGGAAGGGGGACGAGAGCAGCAGCTGCATTACAGGAAACAACTTCTCTTGGTGTCTCCAGTGGAACGGGCGAACCTACTCGGCGTGGCACAGTGACAAGGAGACACCACTGAACATGGAGAGGTTCACTCGAATTGGTGTTTACATTGACTATTCCCAAGGCCTTCTTTCTTTCTATGGGGTGGACAATACCATGACACTCCTTCACCAGTACCAGGCCCAGTTTCTAGAGCCTCTTTATCCGGCTTTCTTCCTGCCCAAGAAAGAGAATATTGTAGTTCTGGTGGCTCCTGGGGAACCGTTACCGCTGAAAAGCCCCTCTCCCTCTACTTCACCTGAAGATGGACCTTTTGATTCACAATCCTAAACAATAAAACCTTAAAAAAAACTGAACTGTTCCATGATTACATCTGAAAAAGGGAAACATGGGAACTTTTGACATGTTCAACCTGTTTGCGTAGTTGGAAAATCAATGTTCCTGTGCTTATGAATTATATTTTTGGCTTTGGGAGTACTGTTACTGGAGGATTTTCTGTTACTGTTTTGCATGGAAATAAAAAAATTGCTTTTCAGTTTGTAGTAAAGGAAGTCTTTGTTCACATAGATCAATTTTTCAGCTTACCATGTTTATTTCTATAAACGACCCTTGTTTCACATCATGTTCCACGAACATGACAAAAACTGATCTGAACCATCTCAGCTTTGCAACTTTGATACAATACACCACAGCATTTATCACTACCATGTTGTAAACCTTCCTGTTAGTTCTTCTGTCAATCATCCTTAACACTTGTCTCCATTCATGCCGATTTGTCCTCATATTCTTCTCATTCATTCAAACTCATTCATCTTCAGTACACGTGGCTTCACTCTTCCACTTTCTCTCTTTCTCGCATATATTCTCAGTCTTGCTCCATGCTGTCTCTGATCTTCTCAGTATTCCTCTGCCTCTGCAAATTTCTATAGCTTCTAGCATCAATTTCAATCTTGCTGTGGAGAAGTGAAGTGAACAGAAACAGTCATTGTAATAGTTCATAAATGGAGGCAGATGATTTTCTGTACAAAGCACTGCAAGCTGCTCCATTGCAGTTTTTCATATAATACAAAATTGGTGTGTTTTGTATTGACCAATGTGAACAGATTGCACATGCCTTTCACGAGGTATGTTGCTTTTTTATAGCTTGCATCTACTGTAAAATTAAATTGTAAACTCAGTAGATTATTAAAAGCTAATACTAATCACAGTGAGTCCTGTTGAAATCAATTTTGTGTTGTACAGAAGAGAGGAGAGGTAAATTATCAGTCAGAAAGAGGAACACTGTTTATTACTTTTAATTATTAACAAAGAATTTACCCGATTTTGACTTACTGTGCAGAACACATTCCACAAAGGGCTTTCACTCGCTTAATAGAACCGCCATACTGACGTAGTGGCGTCAGTCACGTAACTAACGCGTCACGTAATGTGACGTGTCACAGACTATGTAACCAGGAAGAGCTAAACTTCATCATGCTAACAGCAGTAAGTGGAAAATACTCACTTATTTTATTTAAATTTAGACATATCACACAGTTTATGCTTGTTCTGTGATGTTGTGAAGAAAACTGTTGATAAAGGTTGTTTTTTCTTATTTCCAGTGAAGGCGAACAGCTAACTTGCTAATAGTGTTAGCATGCTAAACATAGCAGCTACATGTTAAGTTCTGAAAAATTTTGTCTGAAATCAACATTTGCTTGTGTTTTGTATTAAGTCCGTGAAGGGTGTTCTTTTCGTCTGTATGTTTTATAATGTACTCGACGTTTATGTTTAGTAATGTCTTAACTAGAATCTGTATTTCAGCGAAAGGTGGCTAACGTTAGCTTCACATCTGCCAACAAATATAAAAACACTCTCCTATATTACACTGACAACGACAGTGTAATATAGAGAACAAATACCATATTTGTTCTCTATATTACAGAGAACAAATATGTTCTCTGTAATATAGAGAGCATTTGTGTATTTGTGTACACTTGAGTGTACACAAATACACAAAAATGTATTTACACAAATAGAAGATAGAATAAAGTGTATTTGTTCTCTATTTTTAATTGCGGTTAATGGAAGCATGTTAATGGTAAAACTAATTTACAACATTGAAGCGAAAATCTTGAGATCCCTCCAGTTTCTTTGTATCTAAAGTAATTTTGATCAGTATTTTTCAGATTTTACGGATCAATGTTATTTGCTCTAGCTGTATAGTGTATGTTGGTATGCAGGTTTATTTTCAGAAAACAACTCATTTAATAAGATGATAAATGTTACTGTTGATTTCTGACCTTGTTTTTAACACAAGGCTAAAATTTTAGGTGCTCTTACAAGCGGCAGAAAGTTCAACCTAACAGTGTGTGTTAAAGGTTCAGCTCCAACAGGGCTTTCACTCAGACTCTTGTGACCTCTGATCAGTCCATATGGACACGTCTGAGTTTTATTTCGAATTAAGTCTGTGTCTCTGAGGATAAAGCCTCTTTCTTATTGATTCCTCAGGATACCAACGATGAAGACGTGTCTCTGTTTGATGCCGAGGAGGATGCAGGGAAAAGGTCAAAGAAGAATATCAAGTAAGTTGACAGAGTCCTGATGGGATTAACTTTCTGTATGCGTGCTTGAGTGTACCTAGCAAATATTGTCACAGTTTTTTATTTCAATGTGTACAGCATTCAGGCAAATGAGTCAGTTGTTTGCCATTTTATGGAGACAAAAAAAAAAAAAATAACTGACAGTTTTAGTTCTACTGAGCTGTTGTTTTTAATGGAGTAGAAGAATAAAACATGTTCCACCCTACTTATGGTAATTTATCAAACAAGTGATCATTCTGGTTTACTTACACAAAGCATAATAAAATAGTTGTTAGAGATTAGATTTTTTTTGTTCCGTATCAAGAAGAAGAAAAAAATTAGTTATAAAGTGTCATTTACGTCTTGACTTTTTGAGTCATGAACAGTCTTTTCAATAAGCTTTTACATCAGTTAGTATTAATTTTTTGCATAGTAGCTCAGCTTTACAGGATGGATCATGGATCTTTTTCTGTATTAACCATCATCAAAAATGATTCAAACGAGTCTTTCCTGTCTTTCCTCGGTTGAGGAAAAAGTGTTGCACAAACTTAATCCACAGTCAATGACTGCTTCTCCTTAATGTTTTTTGATGGTTTTAGTGTGGCTTTTCTTTCAGCTGATTTCTAAACAGATCACTCACAAATACCACCTTCTGCTTTTGTCATTTTTGTTGTATCTGCAAAAGTATTATCCTACATGTTTTTAGGTTGTATTGCTTTGAGTTTTCTCTCCAGAGACTCTGGCTTGCTGAATTCCATTTCTGCATCTTTGTTGTTAGGTTGTCAATAATTTTACCTACATGGTCACATTATTGAGCTTAGAAATAAAATATTTTTTAGCCATGTCTTGTCTAGATTATCTTGATTTTTTTTTTTCCCCCAAAACAAATAATTTTCTTCTGTATCTGGCAGTAGTAATGGGTGTAGTGAGTAGATTTTAAATTATGGTGTAATCGTGCTATAAATCTGTGGCAGGCATCCGGTGGCATCCTTCTTCCACCTCTTCTTCAGAGTCAGCGCTACGCTCGTCTACCTGTTCTGTGAGCTCGTCAGTGGCAGTTTCATCGCCTCCATGGTCACGATCATCCTTCTGCTCTCCTGTGACTTCTGGACTGTAAAGGTGGGCATTATTTTACTGTCCTAGGGTTATGTCTTAAAGTAGTTAAATAAAGCATTCTGTTTATGTAATCAATGAGGATAAAAGCTCCCTTCTGTATGCTAAAGACGTCAGAAACGCTTCTTTTTTTTGCATCACTTTGCTCATAGGCTTTGAATAAACAGCTTGGTGGTAAATTAAATTTTCTTTGATCAAATTAGAGAAAATGAGCATTTGTTAAATTGTCAAAAATTATAAATAATTTGGTTGATATCTATGCTAAGCTGAACCAAAGTAGTTCCTGTACATGGGTGTCCACTAATCTTATGGCTGCAGTTCAATTCAAAATTTCTTTATTGTTTCTAAAGGGAAGTTAAGTTGCATGTTAGACTTGTTTAGTATGTGTTTATATGTATTTTATTCTTGGGAAAATAGAAAGCAGGAAATGCCTAAAATGGATTAAGGTTTCTAATTGTCTTTGACTTCATAGGTCTCATTTTCAGAAGATATTTTGACAGAGTTACAGAGTTACATTACAATTGGATTTGCACCATTGTAATGAGGGCTGCATTCCACTGCTGTAGCCAAGCATGCTTTTTATCTGTAGAGAATGAAGTTTTTATGTCTCACTTGAGTTTGTCCTACTTCAACCTAAATCATCAGCTGTGATTAATGAATTCCTTTGCTCGTAATTGAAGAACTGAAAACAAGGATTAAGAATGATAAACTATCAAGCACATCTAAGAAAGGTTTCGATTCACTTTGATAAGAGTTATCTCCGTTTCTAGAGTTAGATTTCCAAGAAAGACTAAAGTTATGTCAAGAATTTCGGTTTCAATACAGCGGTGGAGACACACTAACAGAAACAGTGTTTTCTCTTTCACTATGTTAAAATGTCTGTGTGTGAAATGTTGGTTTCCAGAACATCACAGGCAGGTTGATGGTTGGTCTGCGGTGGTGGAATCAGGTGGATGACGACGGGCAAAGCCGCTGGGTGTTTGAGTCGCGGAAGGTTTGAGGTTTCTCTTCTTTCTGCTGTTTTACCCAGTTCACTTCCAGGCCTTTAACCTCTCACGATGTTGACATCTGGGGCTATATGAGTTTGATAAATGCATCCGTTTACTGTCAGTGGCCCCTATGGTATTCACAGATGGTGTAACTGTGAGAATATCCTGTTTCCTTCAGGGTGCTGGGAAGCAGCAAACGTCAGATTCAGAGTCCCGAATCTTCTGGCTTGGACTGATAGTTTGCCCGGTCATCTGGGGAATCTTCGCCTTTAGCACACTATTTTCATTTAAGGTTAAATGGATGGTAAGTTGCTTCATGGAGTAGATACAGATTCGTTCAAAGTTCACATCCACCCATCATATATGAATGTCAGTAATTTTTGGCCTTTAGGATTCATTGAAGCCATTATTTTTTGGAATGGAATGATTATATAACACACAACTGCAATTCATAAGTGTGTTCTTTTTTGTACCGACCCAGTAATATTTGGATAAATGTCCGTTAGCAAGTTGCATCTCAACCACATCATGTTTTGATTACTACAGACCAGGTCCTGAATGAATTCTGGCTTGATATTTGACCACCACTCTTTTTAATCACAATTGATAGAGCTCATTTAAATCCACCCATTAAATATGTGGTTTTGTGCCATTTAATCATAGTCAGGGTTTTAGAGATGCCATTCAGGAGGTTTAATAAAGGCCTCCCAAAACCAGTTTTAATATGCGTTTTGAGTTTATTATCCTGTTGGAACACCAAAGTTTGTCCAAGTTTTTAACAATTTGACCCAAACTGTCTCCCTAGGATGAAACGAAATTGGTAGAGGGGTCATCGATGCAGGACTTTTAGATGTCCTGCATCTAAAAGTTACAGGACACCAGACCCTCAAGGACTGAAGTTTAACACTTTTGGGGCAGAATATTCAGGAAACACTCTGGAAAGTCACCAGTTCATACTGATCTTAAACTTTAAGCCAATGAAACAGTGGGGAAACTTCCAAGAACAGTTCAGACGTACTCATCAAATGGATCATAACAGTTTAAATTTTATGAACTGATATTTAAATTTGATCTCTGTCATAAAACCACCTAGTTTGTTAGAACTCTGTCAGTTTTGCAAAGAGGAGAGGGCTGTTATCCATCCAGAATGATGCCAGAAGCTTGTTGATGGCTAAGGAAAGTGTGTATTTGAAGCATCAGTCCAACTTAAGGATTATGTAACTAAATATTACTGGGAGTGAACATATATATTTTAACCTGCAGCTACAGTTCTGGACTTGTGTTGTTGAGAGAAAACTTGGATTGAACTGAAACGTATGAACCAAATTTCATTTCATTGTTTTAAATTTCCTTGACGTTATCATTCCAACCTGAAAAAGTCAACTGCAAGTAAATCATTTAAAACCCAGAAATAATGACTTTCATGTCCATTATGAGTGAATGTAAACCTCTGACCTACACTGTACAAAAATGATCACTGTATAAAGTACAAGTTGCAATATTTTGATATTTTTTTTATTCTCAAAGGAAGAAATAATGTGGATATTAACACTGTTAAACCATTAGTGACAGTAGTGTGTTCTTCTTCAGCCTGTAGTGATCATGGGTTTGGTGCTGCAAGGAGCTAATCTGTACGGATATGTGCGCTGTAAAGTGGGAGCAAAGACCAGCCTAAAGAACATGGCCACTAATTATTTTGGCCGACAGTTCCTGAAACAGGTGAGGGGACTTCAGATCAAATGACTCTGAAGATGTTCTTTCTCTGTTGTTTTTCTAAAGTAGCACTGATATTTTTGTCATCCACAGACCCTGTCTAAAGAAGAGGAATCGTAGAGTTTTGCACGTCTGCAATTTTCCTAATATCGTAGAATAAGTGGATACAGGGATCTTTCCAACATGGACTAAAGACATTGGTTTTGTTTTGAATTTAATGTTCAAATCCTCTGAGTTATTTTCATGTTTTATTCAGAGGTTTTGGTTGCTGTTTTTCAATAACTGAACCTGCGCAATAAACACTCTTTACTAACACCTCAGACATGAGTAACAAAAACCTGCAATGTTAACCTGACTAGTTTGTGTTGTAGTCTCATAAATATATCTTTAGTTTGTGTTTTTGTTTCTTATTTTTCAATAATTTAATGCAACTTTAAGCAGTTTTTCAGATGCTTTGTAAAGAAGTTTTCTTGCACAACAGGCTGTGTAAAGTATTGCTTGTAAATATGTAAGTAAAACAAACTATGAGGAATATCTTGTGGGCAAATGCATTTGGGACTTTATTTTCTGACTACTTCCCTGTTTTTATTTATGCTAATTTATTATCCAGAAACGAAAGTAAACCTGCTTTTAGTTCAGGTGTGTGCATGTCAGGAAAGAATAAAAACAAAGACTGTCATTGAAAGTTCTAAACCCTAAATTTAAATTGAATAGTAATGGAACAAAAACACACAAGGTTTGCAGCTTTGCTGTAAAGAATCGCCCAACAACGTCTCATGCATTGATGGTGGTTCCAAAGCTCTATTGGCCAATAGTAGAGAAGTTGGACAGCTCTCCTCATTAACATATTGATGCAGCAGAAATACAGCAAACGGAAAAATACCAAGCTGAAATACAGCAAGCAGAAATACAGCAAGCAGAAAAGGGAGAAGCAAAAAAACAAAGCAAAATATCTATTTTTCTTGACACGTTTAGAGGAAATGAAAAGGAAAATGTATACATTGCTCGACGGAAACTCGTGTAAGGAAAAGGAAAAACTAAATGCATATGTATGCTTTTATTTCTTATCAAAATATATATTTATGGTTTTATTTATTACT